GGGGGGGGGGTTAGGGGAAGGAGCCTGCTGAATGTTGGGGATGCCAATGGGGCGTCTGTTTGAGAGGTTCCTTGCCTTTTCCTCCTCTCCCACCTTCTCTCTCTCTCTCTCTCTCTCCTGGTGTGACCTCTCTGCCCAGCTCCTGAAATAGCCAGCCAGGCGGCAAGATGCCGGCCACACTCGCCAAACGGGGCAAAGAGCAAAGCCACGGAGGAGAGGGGTGTGTGTGTGTGTGATCTGCAGTCATGGGTCTTGAACTCAGGGCCTGGGCACTGTCCCTCAGCTCTTCAGCTCAAGGCCAGCGCTCTACCACTTGAGCCACAGCGCCACTTCCGGTCCTCTGGTGGTTCCCTGGAGATGCGAGTCTCACAGACTTTCCTGCCCCAGGCTGGGCCTTGGACAGCAATCCTCCGGATCTCAGCCTCCTGAGTGGCTGGGGTTGACAGGCGTGAGCCCCCGTGCCCATGCTGTTTCCTAGTTTTGCAGACAAACCCGTACGTAGGCCTGGGAGTTCCTTCAAGCCCATCGGATGATGAGCAGCTCAGACCCGAGATGCGGGCGTGAAAATGTACAGAATATTCTAGAACAGATGGCTGCAGGTAAGCCGGGCTGGACTTACAAAACCAGTTTGCCGCCGCCGCTGGGGTCGGGGAGAATTCCCAGCCACTGGAAAGGTTGAGCTAAAACGAGTGGTTCAAGAAGACTGGGGGAGGGGGAGGGGTGGGAAGGGAGGCTTCTAGAAAGCCACGGAAACACGGCTAGGGCTGGGTGCCAGGGGCTTGCTCACACCTACCATCCCAGCAACTCCAGAGGCTGGAAATCGCAGGCCAGCCCAGGGAGCTCAGGAGACTCCATTCTCCACCAGCAGCACAAAGCTGGACTGGAGGCGTGGCCCGAGCGGTAAAGCACCAGCCAGGAGGAGCAAGAAAACCTAGCAAGAGCAGGAGAGGCTGCAGCACTGGCCAAAAGGGCAGGAGGAGGGGAATAAAAGGGGGTGTATGGGGGGGGTGGAGAGGAGAGGGAGGAAGAGGAGGAGGAGCAGCAGCTGACATTTGCAGGAAGTCCAGCACAGAGACTCCAAGCCGGGCACCCTGGGGAACATTCCGGAAGCTGCTGGGGCGTGTTGGGAGTGCTGGCTTTTTCCCACCATGAGGTCATCTCCCACCAGGCGGGACTGGGTAGCGGCTCCAGCCTGGAATCCCGGCCACTCGGGAGGCTGAGATCCGGAGGATCGCGGGTCGAGGCCAGCCCCGGGCCAGGAGAAGTCCGTGAGACTCTGACCTCCGATGAACCACCAGAAAACCGGGAGTGGTGCTGTGGCTCAAGCGGTAGAGCGCCAGCCTTGAGCCCAGAGAGGCCCGGGGCCGGCGCCTTAGACCATGAGTTCAAGGCCCAGGCTGGGCAAAATAAATCAAATAACTCAGCAGGGCTGGCACTCCCAAATTCCTGGCCGAGGCCCGGGCAGCGTGGAATGTTCTATATTAAGACGCTGGCCCTGGCTGGCCTAAATAAAGTTCAAGAGCGCGCGCGGGGTTCGCGTGACCCTGGCAGCTGACGCTGGACGCCGGCCCATTCCATACCCAGGAAGCAGCATCTCCCCAGCCTCTGTGTGTCTGTCTGTCCCAGGACTTGAACTCAGGGCCTGGGTGCTGTCCCTCAGCCCTTCAGCTCAAGGCGGGTGCTCTACCCCTTGAGCCTGCACAGCGCCACTTTGGGTTTCCAGCTGGTTCATCGGAGATCAGAGTCTCACGGACTTTCCTGCCGGGGGTGGGCCTCGAATCGCGATCCTCAGATCTCAGCCTCCTGAGTCCCTGGGACCATTGGCTGCTTCTCTAGGCCAATGACCGAGGGGCAGGCGGCTGGGGGGGGGGGGTCAGCCCGGGTGAGGTTTGAGGTTCCAGCCCAGGGATTTCGAGTCTGCCCCTCCCTTCTTGGCCGGCAGCCCTGCCTTCCAGCAAGTTCCTCTTGGGTCACAGATACGGTATCACCAGCGGCCTGGCTGCCATGGGAGGCAGAAGGGCGTCTTGGCTCCTGGGGAGAAAGTTCTACAGCTCGGGTGCAGGGGTGGGGGGGTGGGGGGGAAGGGGGGGAAGGGCGCCAGTGGCTCACAGCTGTCATCAGCTACTCAGGAAAGTGAGATCCGGATTGGAGAAAGTTCGTCAGACTCCTCCTCCTCCCTTATTTTTTTTTTTTCTTTCAGTCCTGGGGCTTGAACTCAGGGCCTAGACACTGTCCCCGAGCTGCTTTTGTT